TAGAAACAGAAAAACAAATGAAATTTGTCTTTCACACAGTTTATACATCCCTGACACAAGTATAAAAAGCATTTATTTACAATTTTCTTGCAGGACCAAAAGTGGAAGTGCCTCACACCCACCAGTTCCTAAGTAAGAGCTGAAAGTTACAAAGCTCAGCTTAGTGGAAGCTGTTGACAATCACAGAGAGGCTCTTGTCATTCACAGGGGTTTATGCTGAACTCAAAAATACACAAAAAATGTTGGTGTTACTCACCAAATGATGCTTTAACTCCACAAACACACACACAAAAATCAACTGGGAGAGCATAAGCAATGCTCTCCTGCAGACTGATGCAAACACCCTTTTATGAAGCTGTTTCACCCCTTGATCATTTCTCCAGCAGTCCAACAATAAATTTGGTGCTACCACCCACCAAACTCCTCAATGAACATTGGTACCACCACATCCCCAAGAAGCTGCCAGAAACAACAACTGTTCAAGCTGCAGAAAGGCAGGACAGGAGGGCTGGCATCTTTCAGGAGAGCACAGGAAACTTTCCTCCATCCCTCCAACGCTGACGATTCGGTACTTTGAAAATACAAATCACTGTGAGGAACCTGATGTGGCCAAAGTGGGAGGTCAGGATTTCCCTCCTGTTTTTCACCACTTTCCTGAGGCCTTTCCTCACACCCTGTAGGATTTGCAATCTCTGTCACCCTACTGATAACAAATCCCTGTAGTTTCACTAAGAGAAGTGAACTCCCAGGCTGCTGGATCATTATCTTGGGACCTGCCACACAATTGTGTTCATAAGAAGTTCAAATGAGGATTCTTTTGCTCTATGAAGATTACTCCAGCCTTACAGGCACAACCTCAATTCTGAGCCTCTTAACAATCTCTGAATACACAAATCCTGAATTTTACAAGTTTCCCACCAAACTGTGGGGGGGCACAAACCCTGTGGAAGAACACAAAGAGAGATTTCTGGGAGAGGAACAAACTCACGTCTGTGCATTTCCCGGTACAGAATGGTCAGTGCTTGCAAGGAATTGTCATCTGTGGGCTCAAGTGCTGCTACTTCCTGTGCCAGGGCATAGGCTTCATCCTGCTTGCCAGTCCTCTGCAAGCCAATGGCCTTCAGCACCTGTGGGCACAACACAGGCAGCTCTCACAGACACAGTTTGCATCTGGAAACCCTCTCACTCCTGCTGGGGGCAGCCCAATCACCTCATTCCCTCTGCACAGCTCCAGGATGGATCAAGTTTTGGCTGGAGAGGAAAACCCCCAAATGCAACAGCATCAAAGAGGGGATCTGACTTCTTGATAAACGTTGAGGTTGCCCCGAGGCATCATCACATGGGTTTCCCCACCTGGAGGCTGCAAACTGGCAATTTTCCTTAGTTTTCTCTCTAACTGGCCAGAGGGAAGTGACATAAATGAGATTCAGGTCAATGACACTCTCTGCAGCTTGGGAAGCTTTCAAAATGTAGAAGTGGAGTGAAGTGCAGAGAGGGAAACCCCCAGGGAAATGAGAAAAGCAGAAAGAGAGTAACACATTCAGGAAAGGGAGGAACAGAACCCTTTCCCTCAATAGGGAAGGTGGTGAACAAGCAAAAGAGCAAATGCCTCCAAAATCCTGGAATCCTGGAGTGCTTTGGGTTGGAAGGGAGCTTAAAATCATCCAGCTCCACACCCTGCCATGGGCAGGGACACTTCCATGGACCAAGATGCTCCAAACTGGCCCTGAACAATTCCAGGAGCATCCACAGCTCCTCTGGGACACCTGCTCACCCTGGGATGTTTTCCTCAGCCATTCCCTCCCAAGGAGATGCTCTGATCCAAACTCCTGCAGATGGGTGTCCCAAGCCCAGGGCTCCAAGAGGCATTTTTAAAAGCCCAGCCCACCTGCCAAGGTCACTCGGAGCGGTGCTGACAATCAGCCCAGGTGGAACCAAATCTCCAGTCCCTATCAGGTCATTTTCAGACAAACAAGATGCAGGTGGGCTGGAACAGAGACATTCCAGGGGGCTCAGAAACCACTGTGGAAGCTCCCAGAGAAAGGGACAGTGGCACACCCTGAGATTCAGGCAGAATGAGCTCAGTGCTCCCCAGCCCCACTCACCTTGGCACAGTGAAGGTCCTTGTGCTTTTTGAGCAGTTTATCTGCTTGCTGGATTGCCATTTTATTATTGCCATTATCGAGATAATCTGCAGAGGAAGAGCACACACAAAATCACACCAGAACACCAAGGCCATTCTGGAAAGCCACTTCCAACTTTACCATGGAGCATCTGCTGTCACACCAGCAGCAAAAACCACATTTTCCCTGTGCAGCTCCTCCTAAGCCAAACATTCAGGAAACTGTCGTTTCAGGGATGAAGGATTCATCTCGTTGTACTGGTTTTAGTCACTCGAACAAACAAGCTTTTGTAATTACTCCACACAGATCATTACAGCAACAAAAGAGAGCCATAATAGAGAGGATTCTGCAGAAACCGCTCTTTGCTGGCAGTGCAGCTCCAGTGCTTCAGCAGGAAAAGTAGAAATTAATTTGGTGTGTCTTTGGGAGACTTTCAATGACTTTTAACAGGCAGGAGGTTAGAAACCAATCACACACACACACCAGCAAAGTGGGAAACACTTGTCCACAGCATCCACACCTCAGGCTGAGCAAACCTGTCCCCCTGGAGTGCCACCACCCTTCCCCCAGACTGGTTCTGAAGGCACAACTGTGGAGCATCACTATTTCCTAGGGGGATATCCCAGTATCTCCAGACCATTTTCTCCTTTTTTAGCCCAGAATTACAATTTTCAGATTATTACAAAATTACAAACAAGCAGTTTTAGGCCAAGACACGACCCCTATGTGCTCCCCTTCCTTCAAAAATCCCTCCTCCCTCAGCAAACCCAGCTTTGGAAGGGGCTGCTCACACTGCTCTGGCCTCTCTCCTGCCAGATAACTTCAATTACACCACACACCTTTTTTCCTCATCAAACCTCTCATTCTCATCATAAACCAGAACTCTCTTACTGAGGGGTGATCCTTGGCAATCCTCAGCACAAATTGTGCATCTATTCTCATTTACAGGTTTCTGTTAAACAGTTCCCACATTTGCTCCTGTGGCCAGGTGGATGCTGTGTAATTAAAGCAGAGTTAATTGGGCTCCTGAGCCCAGCCACAGCAAACCTCTCACGAGGCAGCCCTTCCACACTCACCAAAATAAACACTGTGACATGAAATCCAGTTTGAAGCCGCCAATTATTCAACTTAGGAAAACCTCTGGGTCACCTCTGACATGAAAACTTTGGGGATTTCTCAGAGAAGAGGTTTCAAAGGTGTGGAACAGCACATCAGAGGCTTCTTGCTTTAAGGCTCTGTCACCCAGTTTAGTGACACACAAATTATCCCCCAGGCTGAGCTGCCTGACTGGGATTAACAGCTGTGCCAAGAACATCTCAGCTTTGGGTGTTCCAAAGTAAATCAAATAACCCCCAAACCTCCCTAAAACGCAGCAGAACGAAGGGACTGCATTTTCCTAACCAGTCAGGGTGTTGGAAGTCAAAGCAGCTCCCAAAGGAAATGAAGCTAAATGAAAATAAACTTCAGCCTATGCTAGCTCATTGGTGGGGATGTTCAAGGGCTGGAAATGAAACACCTGAACCTTCAGGTGAAGGGAGAACAAGTCAAGATCAAAGATAACCAGAGCTGTCGAGGAATCCCGGGGAAGCAGGGCACAAACCCAGAGCAGCCCTTGGAGCTCACAGGGCACCTCCCCAGCTGCTGAGGTGGGGAACTTGTGTGTGCTCATCACACGCTTTAATTCGCTTTAATTCGGCTTCTGCAGCACCACAGCCCGAGATCAAACCGTGCACTGCAGAGAATCCTTCCCAGAACGAGCAGAAAGGAATTCCAAAGCTCTCTCCAAAATGAACAAAGCGAGATGCCCAACATCGTCTGCTTCCGTACCGGCTGAATTTACCCAGATTTTTCTGTTAGTACCATTTCTCACACAGGTTATGACAAAAATAACTGCACATCAATGAAACTGCCAATCACAGCACGGATAGAAAACTAAGGAAAAAAAAAAACCCTTAAAATCGTTACATAAAGACAAACTGCACCGAACTTGAACACTTCTGATCGAACAAAACCATCTTCCTTCCTCCCTCTCCCTGGAACCCATCACGGACTCAGCCTGTACTGCACCATCCCTCTGCCCCAGCAAAGCACATCCCAAAGCACGCCCAGCCCAAACCAGGGCAGCTCTCCGCGTCTCTAGGGAGAGGTTTTCATCCCTGCTGGAAAAAGTTAAGAACGTTTTCCTCGATCTCTACCAAATCTTCAGTTTTAGGGACGAAACGATACCGTAGCCCGGGGAAGTGTTTTCCTTTTATTTCTCCATATTTGCATAGAGCCAAGCTTTGCCTACAACCTCCGAAGCAACCCCAAGAGCGCAGAACACCCTCGGAAATATCCGGGGACACAACAACACCGGACAACTCCCAACGACACCGTCCCCTTCCACTCCTCTCCTGCCTCCCAATCCATTCCCCCAACAGCGTCACCGCTCCGTGCCACAACATCCAACACAACTCCGGGGCATCCGCGGCTGCTCCTCCGGGGATTAAATCCATTCCCGGCTCCTCCGCGGCAGCGCAAAAAGCTCCGGCCGGGGTCACCTCGGCTGCGAGCGCCGCCGGCTCCGCTCCCCCCGGGCCGAGGGGGCACCCCCGGGGCGCCGCGGGACCCCGGCCCGGCCGGGCGGGCGCCGCAGCCGCGCAGCCCCCGCGGGGCCGGGAGCGCGGGAGGGCCGCGGGGGGGCTCGGCGGGGCGGCGGAGGGGGCGGCGGGGCCGCGGCGGGGGCGCGGCGGGTCCGTACCGTAGATGGGCCGCAGGCGGCGGTCGTTGGGGTCCTGCACATGGCCCCGCGCCGCCATGATGAGAGCGCAGAACGCAGCGCGCAGCCGCGGCCGGGGGCGGGCAACGGCGGACGGGCCGGCGGGGCGGGGCCGCCGCGGGCAGCGGGACACGGCGGGCACCGGCACCCGCCGGGCACCGCTACCGGCACCGCGCACCGGCACTGCCACGGGCGGGGGCGTCAGAGACCTCACCTGACTTGACCCGACCCGACTCGGGCCGGGTCACCGGTGATCGGCACCAGAAATCGGCACCAGAAATCGGCACCCGACACCGGCACCCTCGACCGACCCTCAGCAGGCCGGCGGACTCGGGACCGGCACTCCCGAGCGGTCCCCATAGGGCCGCGCTTTCGCTTTCGCCGGTCCCGGTCCCTCGCAGCAGAGGCGGCAGCGGCCGGGCCCGGTGCCCGGGGCTGTGAGGGGAGCGGGCACCGCACGGAGCCATGGCCATCGCCGACGTGCCCGCGGCCGAGTCCCGGCTCTGCGGCAACTGGTAAGGCCGGGCCGGGGTCCGTGAGGGCCGGGGTCCAGCCGGGGTTCGGTGAGGGCCAGCCCGGGGCCGGGGTCGGTGAGCGCCAGCCCGGGGCCGGGGTGGGTAAGGGCCGGGGTCGGTGAGGGCCGGGGGTCGGTGAGGGCCAGCGCGGGGCCGGGGGTCGGTGAGGGCCGGGCTCGGTGTGGGCTGGCCGGGGTACAGCTCCTCGGAACGCGCTGAAATAGCGGAGACGGCCGTGGGGCCTTTCCTGAGAGTTTGGGCGTCGCATTTCCTTTCTGACTTAATAGGGAACGAAATAGAAACCGAAACGTTCGGGTGGAAATCCAGGCTCGCTTTTCAGTGAGACCCGCACAAAATACGCGGTTCCGAGTTTTTCTTCAGCAGTTCTGTGGCTCGGGAGCAGAAATACGAGGATAGATCAGTAGGCAGGGTTGTTGTGGAAGTTTTTCTTTGATTACACCTCTCTGCAGAGAGCCCAGTGGCTGAGAAGGAATCACCTCACAAATTGTGGCTCGAATTCAAGCAGCTAAAGAAATTAACTTTTTCTGTAGTTGTTTTTCCCCAAGAGACATCAGAATCCAGACAATTTCTTGCAACATCAGCCTGGTTTGTTTGGTCTGTGCAGTCCAGTCGGTGCTGTTGGACTTTGTTGCTTTGCCAGGCTTTTGGGTGCCTGGGATCTGGCAGGGCAGAGAACAGCTGTGGGTTTAGCAAACACAAGGGTATAAAATTAACGTAGGTGTTTTCAAGGTGGATTTCTTGGAAAGGGGATGATCCATGCAGAAATGATGCTGCCTGGTTGAGGCAGGAGGAAGGACTGAGCTCCAGGTGCCTCAGATCCTTTTGGTCCTTTTGTCTTTGGTTTCAGGACGGAAAACAAGCATCTTAGAAATGAGGTGAATTGGGGAATTTTGGGGTAAAAGTGAGGTGAGCTGGGGAATTTTGGGGTGCAGAGCAGCGTTGTTATTGCTGGGGCCCTGAGCTGCCTGGTCTGTGGAGGGTGCCCCTTCCAACCCAAACCATTCCATGGTTCCATTAGCCTGGAACAGGATCTGTCAGGTATAAAAAAAGTTTGACTGCTTTCCAAAGCATTGTTTGACTTCTCAAGAGCCAAGTTATTTTCAGGAAGAAACTTTTATCTTCTCAGACTAATTTATTAACTTGATCCCTGCCGATAACTTGTTTGTGCTGCAAGATTTCCCTTTCACAGAAGGAAATAAATCCACCTGGATTTTATCTGAATACAATGTGACTTTTGCATGTTAAATACATTAATATCCACCTGTGCTGGAACCTTGAGGCCTGGCTGGGCCTTTCTCTACTCACTTTAAACCATGAGCTCATTGAAATCTTTCTTAGCATTCTCTTTCTGTTGTGAACAACTGCTTGGATTTGTTGTCAGTGGGTTTCTGCCCAGTAACCTCAGCGACTTTCTCACAGCAAAAAGGATATTCCTGCAGTCAATTTCATCATCCATGAAATCCACTGTAGAAGAAATATTGAAATATGCCCCTACTGCAGCGACTCCATCCCAAAGTCTGAGATGAAGAACCACATTGAGTCTGAACACGTGCAGGTGAGAGACTCCTCTGCTCTGGAGCTGCTCATTCCTGTGGGCATTCATCTGATGAGGTCTCTTTGCCTGTAGGTCACCTGCAAGTGTAGGATGAAGATGGAGAGCAGCCTCCTGAAGGATCACGAGGTTGGTGGGTTTGATATTATTGAACCCTTGGGGGCTGCTCTGGTGTTTTTCTGGTTCCAGAGCTTTTCTGGATTCCAGCCTGGGGCTTGTGCATCCTTTATGGAGTGATGCTTCCTAAACTCACACCCTCTGGGAGAAGGGATTGGAAACTGCCCTAAAGTCCTGGAGCCACTCAGGGCTTCATATCAAAGGGCTATCTGTGATAATTGGTGATTTTTTTTTGTCCTTGTCAGTTGAAAAATAGCTATTTAAAGTATGATTGACTTGACTTCTTTCATTCCTTTCCTGTTTCATGTTTCTGCTGGAGCCATTATGAGACTTTTAATAACTCAATCTGTCCAAACAGACTTTAAAAATAGCCTGTAAAATAAACTAAAATAGGCCAGAGTGGGATTTTCTGAGTTCTGAATCCAGTTGGCTGCTGTCACAGACAATCTTGTTATAAATGTCATCCCTTCCCTTGCTGTGGGCTCCTCTAGAGACAACTCTGGAACTGCCACCTCAGCCTGCTGATTGCTGAGGGAAAAAGGATTTTCTTTGGAAATCTGTGCAGTTCTAAACCCTGGGAGTAGCTAATCCTGCCTCTGTGTGTGTGTGTGTGTGTGTGGTGCTTTTGGATTATAAAGCAAACGATGGTGTTTTATTAGTGCAGGTTGTTCCTTGGTGCAACAGCTGCAAATATCACATATTTTATCTGTTTTTAACCAACCCCTTTTTAAGTGGGTTCAGTGTGGGGTAAAGAACATGTCCAAGCAGTTCTTGCTGAGCAGTAAATGAGGTGTCAGTCTGTTCCCTAAAAACCAGTGTGGATTTTAGCTGTGCTGTGGAATACAACTGGATTTGGGGTTGTATCTAAAACTCCAAAGGGCCTGGACAATCTGCCCACCTTGGTGGAACAGAGCTGCCCAGCATCTTCTCCTGTGGCTCTCCAGGCCCCTTTAGCACATCAAACCACAGCAAAATAGGAATAAACACTCTTGTGGTGGGGTTTATCCTTAAATTGGAGGGGAGGGGAAAAGCAAAATCCAGAAAGCTCCACGTGGCCCTGGCAGATTCAAAATCATATCCTGAGCACCTGAAGAGCTTCAGCTGCTGAAGTTTGTGCCTCCAACACATTCCCACGTTGCAGTTTATCCCAGGTTGTTCCTTTGGGTGTGGCTGAGGACACAGCAGAGCTCTCCAAAGCTGAGGAATCCCCGTGTCCCTGTGGGAAGAGTTACCCCCCGTGTTTTCCAGGCGTCCTCGTGTCCCCTGCGGCCCGTGCTGTGCCAGTTCTGTGACATCCAGCTGGCCTTCAACAAGCTCCAGGAGCACGAGCTCTACTGCGGGGCCAGGACCGAGCCCTGCGGCCGCTGCGGCCGCCACGTCCTGCTCAGGGAGCTGCCGGAGCACCCGCGGGTCTGCGGGACACCGGACACACCGGGGACACCGGACACACCGGGGACACCGGACACACCGCAGAGGGCGGCCAAGGACGGCGCCACCGCCGCGCCGGCGGCCCGGAGTGAGGGTGGAGCCACGGGGAGCCGGGACCGGGGATGGGCTGGGGAGGAGCCAGAGCGGGGAAAAGAGATTTAGAGGGGCTGTGGGACACAACTGCAGGGACAGAGCCCCGTAAGGGACACAGCTGCAGGGACAGAACCCCGTAAGGGACACAACTGCAGGGACAGAACCCTGTAAGGGACACAACTGCAGGGACAGAACCCCTAAAGACAAAACCCCTAAAGATAGAATCTTAAAGGACACAACTGCAGGAACAGAACTCCTAAAGACAGACTCTTAAGGGACAGAGCCCCTAAGGACAGAATCTTAAGGGGCAGAACCTTTAAAGACAAAACTCCTAAAGACAGAATCTTAAAAGACACAGAACCTTAGGGACAGAACCCCTAAAGGCAGAATCTTAAGGGACAGAATCTGGAGGGGCAGAACCCCTAAGGACAGAATCTTAAGGGACAGAACCTCAAAATCTTAAGGGACCAGAACCCCTAAGGACAGAATCTTAAGGGGCAGAACCTCTAAAGACAAAACCCCTCAGGACAGACTCTTAAGGGACAGAACCCCTAAAGACAGAACCTTAGGGACAGGACCCCCAGAGGACAAGAACCTTAAGGGCGTTCACAGGAACAGCACAAAGAAACCAAAAGTGAGAAAAAGTAGACAGGAAGGAAGAACTGGCTGCTCATTTGGTAGCTGGTCCGGGTGTGAGGTTTTGTGATTCTTTTCTGTGGAAATGCAGGATAGTGAATGCTCCAGAGGCACCAAGGGGGAATGTTTACCCACAGAATGAGGTATAAGCCAGGAGTGCTGAGGTGCCTTGGATAAAAGCCCACTTGCTTCATTTTTTTTTTTTTGTCTCAAAGTACCTGGCTTAAAAATGAAACTGGAGTTGTTTGCTCCCTGTAATTTGGGCTATGATTTTTCTCCATCCTCCTGGCTTTGTTAGAGGTGCCCTTGGCTTTGAGATGCTGAACTCCAGGAGAAACCCTGGGGCTGAGTCTGATGTGCAGAGGGAGCTGCTGGTGGCAGGTTTGGTGTTCTCCCAAACTGACAATGTTTGTGTTTTGAAGGGGATGAGCTACAGAGACCTGAACTCCTTCATTCCCAGCTTGCTGAAGACTGGAATGCTGACCTGGACTATGTGTTGGCTCTCAGCCTGCAAAGTGAGAATAACCCTCAGCACAACACTGCAGCTGACATTCCCAGGGATTTCTGGGAATACGACTACACCAAAGAGCCTGGACAATCTGCCCACCTTGGTGGAACAGACCTGCCCAGCATCTTCTCCTGTGACTCTCCAGGCTCCTTCAGCACATCAAAGCACAGCAAAATAGGTATAAACACTGTTGTGGGGGGTTTATCCTTCAATTGGAGGGGAGGGGAAAAGGAAAATTTGGATTGGTTAAAGATTACCTCAGTATTTTAAAAGGTGAAAATCAGTCATTTTGAGACTCCTAAAGCAAAGCAGCAAGTGAAGAAATCAAAGGTTATTAAATTAGTGGGTCTCTGACCTTGGTGTATGGTGGGAGCCCAGGTGGGGAAAAAGGTTCTTGTGGAAGTAAAAATGGTGGGAAGGAGGATCTGGAGGAAACCTGGAGTGCAGCTCGTTCTGAAAGGAGCACAGGGTTCCATGATGCAGCAGGAGCTTTCACCAGGCTCACAGAGGATGCAATCCCTGCTTCTCCTGCAGACAAGGACATGATCATGTTGCCCTGCGAGTTCTGTGAGGAGCTGTGTCCTGCTGAAGATCTGATCCTTCACCAGGTTTGAGATTTCCTTTGGTCTCGGGGTTTGCAGTGATGACTTTTGTGTGGCTGTCACTGAGCAGGGTGTGGAAGGGTGTGGGTGACACTGGGAGAACTCTGGGTCTGTGCCAAGGAAAGTGGTTTTCAGTGCCCACCTGGCTCATCAGGAAAGGTGATTTTTCCCTGTTGTTTGTGTAACAGACAGGGTGTAACCCAGCAAGTGCCTTTGCCTCGTTCAGTAAGAGAAGTTCCTCTCCAAATCCATGGGAATACAGTGGTCTGCAGGCTGAGGGCTCCAACAGCCACAGGAGTGTCCCCTCATCCCAGCCCCAGGCTGGCCAGGCAGAAGGAGACATCATGATCCCATGTGAATTCTGTGGCATCCAGCTGGAAGAGGAGATTCTCTTTCATCACCAGGTACTGGACAGGACAGGCTCTGGTGGTCACATCCCATTGTTCCAGGATGGGCCCAGTCCCAGGGGCTCTTGTGGCACATTCCAGGAATTCAGGGAGCTGCCCCTGGCTCAGGTTTTCCCACACAAAGCACTGGGATTCATGTGAAGGGTTGTGCTGCACTGAGGCTCCTCCTAAAAAGTGCTGGATTAATGTGAAAGCTCTTGTAATGAAACTAAACAAAAGGGCCTGAAGTTGCACAATCAGAATCACACAAAATGAAGTTGAACCCTGGATGAGTCAGCTGAGGGGAGAGAGGAGCACAAAGGTAAAACTGGATGGGAGGGGAAGGAGAGAACAAACTCCAGCCCTGGGAGTGGCGTGCCCAGGGAAGAGTCCTCTGGAATGTGCTGCTGCCACAGGCAAGATGGGAGAATGCTGAGCTCACCATTCTCTGTGTCATGGTTCATTCACATCCCTGGTCCCAGCAAGCTGCTGAAGCTGGGGTTGGGTTGGTTGGTCTGGGCCTCTCCTCTCCTGGGGGACAGCAAAATCTGTTCTGGGAATGAGATCTGATTAAACTTGAGAGCTTATCACAGAATGCCAGAATGGTTTTGGTTGGAAGGGATGTTGAAGCCCATCCCATCCCATCCCACCCCGTGCCATGGGCAGGGCCACCTTCCAGTGACCCAGGGTGCTCCAAGCCCAGTGCAGCCTGGCACAGGGATGGAACTGGATGAGCTTTAAGATCTCTAAACCATTCTGGGACTCCACTATTCCCTCTTAACATCCCCAAGTGCTGCTGCTCTGCAGTGTTTTCCCAGGGGTTTCCACCTGAGTGGGCTTCACTTGACCAGCACTGTGTGTTCTGTGCAGCACCACTGTGACCTGCGCCCTGCCAGCCCCACAGGTGACATTGGTGCCATTGCAGCTCGGGAGCTGCCAGCCCAGCCCCGCAGGGACAGACGGGAATCACCAGAGCCGGCTCGGCGACGGATCCGGCACCAAGGTGTGGGCAGGGCACAGCCTGAGCTCCCTGGGAGCTGCTGTTACCCTGTTCTCTCTCAGAAATCTTCATCCTCTGCTCTGGGGCTGCGCTCAGGGAGGGAGGATTAAATCACTGCAGTTCTGTCCTTGGGGGTCCTGGGGTGGACACTGGGGTTGTTCCTGATGCTGCAGTTCCTGTTCAGCTCCGTGTCCTGTCCCTGCAGGAGATGTTTCTCCTTGGCACGCAGAGGGCTCTGGGAAGCTGGGGCTGTTCCCTGCTGCACGGCCCAGGCTGAGGACGGGGGTGGCCAAGGCTGGGGACGCGGCGCTGTCCCCTCCAGGGAGAGCCGGTGACGCTCCGGGCAAGCCCGGGAAGGGCAGTGGCACTGAGGGGACACGCAAGGACAGAGGTGACTCTGCAGCTGGGACAGCACCCCGGGCAAGAGCTGCTCAGCACTTCCAGGCAGAGACCTTCACTTCCAGCTCCTCCAGAGCTTCTCCAGCCCAGCCAAGGTAATGCCTTTCCTTCTGCTCCATTCCCCTTCTTATGCTGCAAATCTGGGTCCCTTTGGCTTTGCCTGTGGCTGAAAGGGTTTTCCAAAGCTTTCAGATTCACCCAGTTGATTTTGGCTGGTGCTTATCTGAGTTTCAAACAACAAATTTAGGTTTTTACCTCAAAAGAGAACAGACCCATTGGTCACTGGGATCAAATGTAGGTTCAAGTCTCATTACTGTCCCATGGGAGTGCTCTGCTCTCACCTGGGCTCTGAACAGGAGCTGCTTCTGCTCTGAAACATCTGGGCCAGGGTCAGAGGAGACCCAAGGGCCTCTCCCTGTCTCCCTGCTGTGCTGTCCTGTGCTTATCCAGCTCGGGTGGCTTTGCCTCCTCTGAAGGTGTCCCTGTCCCACAGCTCTGGTGCCGCAGGAGGAGGAGGGAGCCTGGGGCTGTTGGACGGGCGCAGCGGCCTCCGGCGCCGGAGCTCCAAGGTGAGGCTGCAGGGGCAGCTCCTGGTGCTTTTGCCAGGACAAGGAGCTGCTTTTTACAGCCCTCCCTTATTAAGTCATATTTGAAAACAGCATTTTTCTTTTCCCCCTGCCATAAGGCAAAAGGCCAGAGCCCAGCAGCTGGACAGCCAGAGGAGTGAGCCAGTGCCTGTGAGAACATGGAGCACCCGGCCCTGCCCCTGGGCTCTGCCAGACTCCTGCAAGCAAATTCTGACACTCAGCTTCAATTTTTAGGCAGTGACCATTTTCTAAATCTCTATTTTTAATCTGTGAGAGCAAACTTCAGGTTTTTATGTCTTTGATCACCTTGAGCACCACCCCCAAGGCATCAAATTGAGTCTTGCCTTGGGCACCACCTGAGTTCTGTGTCTGTGTGGGCTCCTTGTGCCATCCTGGGCTGGGATTTGTGTCACCCCGAGCTCTGGGTGCGTCCTGCCCTGGAATGCTCAGTGGCAGCTGGTGACACCAGCAGGGAGCAGTCAGTGCTCCAGCCCTGTCCCATGCAGAGCAGGTTTGAGGGTTGGGGCTCCAAGGCTTCTCAGTGCTGCATTTTCAAGTTTAAAGCTTTTTAATTTTCTGGGAATAAAATTTCTCTGAGGCTGTCCCAAACCGTTGTGCAGTGCCATCTGTCCCCTGGGGTGACACGGGACCACAGCCCCTGCTGAGGATCCAGTCCTGCTGTTATTCCCTGGCTTCTGTTACTGTTGGAATCCCTGGGACTTGGGGAAGTGGAGCAGAGCCTGGATAACACCCGTGGGCATCAGCCTCATTGAGGAGGTGCAGCAGATGGCACTGGCAGGGCTCACTGGCCACCCCTGGGGCAGGGTCAGGACCCAGGCCTTGCCTCTGGTGCCAGCTCCATCCAATGAAGGCTGAAGGGAACTTCCTCCTCAAATAAAGACATTTTACAGATGCTCCCACCAAATGTGCTTATTTAGACAAGAAAAGAAGAATAAAAGTATTTAAAAAAACAGGGGCACACCAAACCTCTGCTCTTCCCATTCCTGGGGAGAAGGGCTGTGAGAAGATCAGGGAATGGGAGCTGGTCCCTGAGGTTTGGGATGGATAATGGGATGCTGTGGGTCAGGGATCATTAAACATGACAAATAATTAATGACTGAGGTGGCAGAGCCTGTGCTGTGCCCCAGGCACAAGGAATATCCCAGAGGAACAACCTCAGCAGTGGCCCTGCTTCCCTTTGGTACAAAATCCTGACATCCATCCTGTCCCAAGCACACACAGAGAACCCAGAGATGTGGGATTCCAACAGAGCAGCTGCAGCTCCCTTTCCCCCCCTCTCCTGCTCTGCCTCAGGCAGCTCCAGCAGCAGATCCCAGTCCCTGCTCCCCACAGAAGGACACAAACACCTCCAGGGATGTTAAGAATCTCCTTTATGCAGGTGTACACTCGATGGCCAAGAGCACTTACAGGTTAATGCCGTGTATGGAACCGAGATGGACACACACCAAGCTAGAACTAATACCCAGCTCCAGAGTTTTTCCATTGTTTAGTATAATTTTACATTCTGAATGAATATATATTAAAAAAAATAATAATAATCATCACAAACCAATCTTTGCTTCGACAAACAAGCCTAGTACAGACAATGTCAAGTTCATTTAAAGCACGAGGAATTAAGGATGATTAGAAAAGCTTTAATTAAAAGGCCATTTGAGCCACAGCTGAGGTGCTGCAGCACTTCCTTCCCAGGAGCATGGAATTTAAAAAAAAAAAAAAAAAAAGCCAAAAAACTCCCACAATTCCTCTTGTGGGGCTCATCCTGTTCTCCAGAACAAACCAAAGTCGATGGAAGTTGGTTATTGGTGCGACATTTGTCCTGTAGAAGAAGCTTCATTTACACCCCCAGGTGCAAACGACGAGAAGTTCGTTATTTGTAATCATAAATAATTAACTGTAATAAATACGGATCAAGTAACGTTCCAGCACACGCCCGGGGCCGGGTGCAGTGTGCTCCACTCGGATGTGCTTCCCAAGGAGCACAAACACAGCAGCAGCAGCAGCAGCAGCTTCTTACTCACAGCTGGAACTGGAGCCTCGGGAACCGCTGGCACACGGAGCCCTCTGGGATGGCCCCTCAGCATTTCAGGACTGGACCCCAGGAAAGGCCAGAGAGAGCCCAGCCCGGGGCCACAGCTCTGCCATGGAATCCAGCCAGTGCTCCCCACCTTTCCTGTCTGGGAACAAACGGGCTCCGAGCCCCCCCTTCGGCTTCCTTTTCCCTTGGTCTTTGTAAACTCCAGGTGTTCCCGCTTGCTCCGAGTGGTTTCTGAGCTACATAAACGCTTCTACCAGGAAATGGACGAGATTCAAGAGTAAATATTCTTCCTACATGGATCTGTTCCCTGGACAGGGCAATAGGCATTGGGAGGGTAACAGCTTCCTAACCACGGGCTTGGGAGACTCCGGATGCCGACGACTACGAGTGCTGCACACACATTCCCATTGCCATTGCCACTCGCGCACGGAAGAACAAGGACACCCATCCCCAACTCACACCGCCTCTCCCGCATCCCACGCACTCAGCGTTCCCACTATTCACAATAATGTACAATAAATACATTTGGGATTCCCAGGAGCAGTTCTGGAGCCAGGGGACACCGAGCTGGAGGTTTGGTCACCTCAGCCGGGGCCTCCCGGGCGGCTCCGCGCCGGCACTCGGCTGCTCACGGACAGCACCGACGGATTCCGGGATGGTCTCTTCCTCAGAACTCAGGATCCCAGGGATCAGCAGAGCTGGAGTGGCCCAGAAATCCTGCTGAGGGATGAGACACCTGTGGAGGGGCTGCTCTGAACCATCCAGAACAGTCCACAGAACACCAGTGAAACGTGGAGTTGTTCCTGCTCCGCAGCTGCCTCCCAGCTTTCCACACACAACAGGAGCTTCATCCTCCCGCCAGGTGCCAGAGGTTTTTAGGATAATTTGCTCTTGGATCAAAGATTTTTGAGTACAAAAATGAGTTCCAGGTGTTTGAGCACCCCCTGGTTGTTCTGAGAGCTCATTGGGAAATGGGATAGTCCCGCATATTTGGGATGGACTGTGGTATCTTACACCCTTTGGAGAGAAGCTGTTTTGTTCTGCTCATATTTTAATTACAATAAATTATTTTGTTGCTAAGCAAAGCAGACATTCAAGAACATCTAGGGCAGAAACCCAATGGAATCACAACCCTTTCACTGTTCTATTGGAAATTTTCCCAAAAGTGTTGAGCTGAACCCCCCAGTTCCCTGTGGCAGCCCCCATGTGCTTGGTCAGAGTTTAGAAAAATTTCAAGGAAAGTGGTGGAAAAGTGGAAAAAGCAGTTTGGCAGCAAAGTTCTGCTTCAAACCTCAAGCAAGTGCCACGAATCCTGCCTGTGCTCTGCTCCTGCCCATGCAGTGATTCCCTCCCCACACCCAAACCTGGCATTTTTGTACTCAAAAACCCCTCAGGGAGAGCGATCCATGAGCCTTCCCCTGCGAGGGCTCCCGGCCTCGGAATGCCCTCCCTGCCAGTGGTGTTTGCACGGGGCAGAGACCATTGTGGATTACAAAATTAGAAATGTACAGGTGGAAAGGTTTTTTCCCCCAAATTAAATTATACACAAACCGGTCTTTACTAAACTATCCTACAAATATTCCACAAACAAGGCAGCAAAAGAACCAGTCCACCACAAAGTCTACGAATACAAAATGGAAGTCTTCCGGGAATTACTGTAATGGGAACGAAGGTTCAGGAAATAAATTAACCCCCAGCTGATCCCAGGGGAGGTGCTGGATGGGAACTGAAGGGGTTCCACCGGGCAGAGTCACGGAGTCACCTCCAGGCATTCCCTGCTCGTGCTCAGCCGCTGAGCGGATCCTCGCGGTAGTGGATGGCGTAGCGGAGCTTCTCCAGCATGATGTCCAGCGAGGAGTACTGGGGCAGCTTGATCATGAACATGCACGTCTCCACTCGGATGTACCGCGAGTCCGGGGAACCTGCGCGACAGCCACCGCCAGGGGTTACAGCCAGCCCAGCCCTGTCACACACCTCTTGTATGGAAAATCCTGCCCTTAGGATTTTTCCTCCTGAGAAGCTGGGAGGCCTCAGGAACTGAATGTGAACAATGGTTATCTGCTGCTGTGCAATGCAACAGGTGCATCTGGGATTGGCCCATGTTGGTTGTTTCTAATTAATGGCCAATCACAGCCCAGCTGGCTCAGACTCTCTGTCCGAGACACAAACCTTTGTTATCATTTCCTACTTTTTCTATTCTTAGCCAGCCTTCTGATGAAATCCTTTCTTCTATTCTTTTAGTATAGTTTTAATGTAATATATATCATAAAATAATAAATCAAGCCTTCTGAAACATGGAGTCAGATCCTCGTCTCTTCCCTGTGAACAAAATCCTATCCCTGACTCTTGTGGAGCTTTTGAATTGTAAATGTTTCTGTGATTCTCCCATCAGGCCTCATGCCAGTATTTTCCCAGCAGTTTAATTTCAGACAAATAGCAAAGTGTCTCTGCATCTCTACAGGGCAAAGTTTTAATGGTGGAATCCCAGAACAGTTTGGGTTGGAAGGGATCTTAAAGCTCATCCAGTTTCACCCTCCCACCATGGGCAGGGAACTCCCCACTGGATGCAGTTCAAGTTTTAGGTGAAATTTTAGCTTTACATCATTTAGGCCCCAATTCTCTCCTGATTTCCCCTCATAACCACCTGCCCCTCCTTTGTCAGTGTTCATTAAAGGGGGGCACAGAGCTGGGAGCAGCAGCAGCAGCTCCTTTTCCTCTCCTTTTCCCCTCCCTTCCCTCGGTTCCGTACCTGCGGCGCCGTCGGGGGGCGCGATTTTCATGGGGTAGGGGGGGACGTGGGCGGTGTCGGGGCCGCCGTCCTTGCAGGGGCAGGTGAAGGGGATCCTCTCCTGGTTGCAGGCAAACTTGATGAACTTGCAGAGCTCCTCCTGCGTGAACATCTCCAGGGCGCTCCAGAAGAACTCGATGTGCTGGTCGGTCTCCATCAGTCCCACCTGGTACATGGTGTGTGCCTGAGGGGACAGGGACACGTGTCCACCGCTGCTCACCTCTCTCCCTTCAGCAATTTTCCCCAGTTCAGACTCTTACTCCTCTCTGCACAAACCCCACCCTATTATTTCCTGAATCAAGTGAAATCTTAATGAACTTCCCTGGGGGAAAAGCAGCTCCCCAAGGATGTCCTGGCTGAGGAACCAAAACCTAAAGATTCTCCCCTCCCACCTTCCCCTGCAGGATCCCCTTCTCTGTGTCCCACAGGAGTGTGGCCAAAGCACCTTGAGGAATTCCAGGTTGATGTAGGGAAGGCCACAGGTCCTCAGCTCCATCTCCAGGGGGGTGAGTGTGGTCAGGAGCTGCAGGGGGATGATGGAGCCCAGCCCTGCCCTCACTGCTGTCATGCACTCCGGGGTCTGCAGCTCCCGCATCCGCAGGCTCCGGATGGCGGCCGCGTACACGTCCTTGTTCTCCCACCTGCAGGGGCAGAGACCTGGGCTGAGGGAGAACTCCTGGGAGAGCCCCTGAGCCCCACCTGTGTTACACAGGGAAGGGTTTTATGGAGAGATCCTGGTCTGGAACAATCCAGAGTCAGCAACAC